TTTAATCATTCATATAAACTAATTTTGATTTCAAGTATTTTCATTAGGACACTGATTCTTGCAGCATTCTGAATCACCACAAAAATTTTCGATATTTAGAACGAGCAATTTAATTTTTTTCAAGAACAATTTTGTAAAGTTTTTAACATACATTTAACTGTTCATGATGGGTGTTTCGAAAGTTACATCATAGGACTACTTACATCAGTTTTGCGTCATCTTTAGCTATCCGAAATCGGGGTTCAAACGGAAGGAGGAACGGCCACTAACGTATTTGAACGATTCACGATGTCAGAGCGACTTATTTCCTGCTCTCGAAGATCGTTGTTTTCTTCTGGATCATTTATTCTTTCATGTAATCGTTCCATTGGGTCCGAGAAACCATAAAGAATTTTTCCATGACGACGTAATGCTAAGACGACATCGGAAGCAAAGACCGTTTTCCTCTTACAGTATTCTGCATAGCAAATAGAATCTCTAATCAAACTTTTTAAAAAAGATTTCAAAATAACTCTTGTCTCGTCATATATTGTCCCCGATATACGCTTGACGCCACCACGGCGAGCTAATCTGCGTATACTGTACTTGCTGATTTTTGAAAGACAACTGGAATAGGTTTTTCTGCTACCTTTCTTTGTTTCACTTCGAACTTGGTTGGATTTCTGAGAAGACTGAGACATTATCGATTAATGAAGCAGTGACTTGAAACAACTTGTTAAGATTCGGATTCGTACTATAAAAGCCATGTGATGCGATAATGGTACACACACATATTTGTCGATTAGTTGTATTGATACAGTCCGTTAGCTAAATAAAGCCTGAAATTTCTCAAGAAAATTACGAGACGTAAAGCTCTGTTGTTGTAATAGCCTGAAGCGCTTCACTTCTATGCTAAGTGGTGCTTTTGGCTATAACGTTCACCGTCAAATAAAATGACCAGATTAGCGATGTGCGGAGGAGGGGGAACCACCAAGCAGAAAACTGAGGAAAGTAGCAAAAACTTTACAAAGAAAAGTAAAATATAACGAAGTTACACTTTTATTTTTGCATAAACTTTCTTACCCTTTTTCTCGTACATATAGTTTTTGCAATTCCTGCTCTAAAGAGTTTCGAAAAAGTTTTAGTTTCCTCTGCACTGGCACCACACAAATGTATGGCTTGAGGTAATAGCGAATTTTCTGCATTCTTCCAAGAAAAAGGGCCTTTTACCTCGTAACAGAGTATAGGAAAAATCATGAAATGTATTTATATATCAGTGATCAAAGCGTTTGGAGATACAGTATTGAAAACTTCGGGGGGAGGCAGTATTCTTTGTAGAAATCGGTTCTGTGGTTCCCGGCTATAACTAAAAGAATGGCTTTATTTACTTTGGAGCAGAACAGCTGTAATCTATAAAATGCTGTAAGAAACAGTGAGAAATAATTGTTGACTGGAGTAATTAGTATATCGTCTGCGGAAGGCTTTTAGGGCTGGGTATCAGCTTCGGCGATTAATCGAAGAGGCGCCGGTACTTTTTAATGTTAGCGGCTAAAATATAAAAGTACCAAAGAGATCACAAGACGTAATTTAGGTTTCCTCTTTAAAAAAAAGAAATTTTTTAATTTTTTATTCTTTTTCTTAAAAAAAAAGAGCATTTTTTTAATTAAGAAAATAAATTCGGTACTTACAGAAAATCCCATCGACCACAAGAGACGGCGCCAAATCGCCAAGCCCCCCCCCCGAAAAAAAACATTTACTAAATACAATAAAAAACGTTCTACTCTTATTTTTCTTTCAAATGTATTATATTATCATTTATTTATATTTAATTTTCATTAAAAATTTCTATACTTTTATTAAGGAGATATACTTAATAAAATTATTATTTTTATTAAGGAGATAAGATTTTATGTTGCTACATGATTCCAGGTTTTCGTCCTTGCTAATTTTAAGGATGTCTTCTTAAATATCCATTTGACAGTCTTATAATTAAACTGAAATTTTCATATTTAATTATCATTATCGTTTATAAATCTGGAAAATACCTTGCTTTCATTAGAATGGTAAGAACCGAAGTTTTTATTTTTAGAATGTTTTCGATACGAATAACTAGAATTTTTAATTCCATTAAAAGTTATTACTGATTTTACCAAATTTAATCGCTGAGAAACTCTTGTTAACGAAAGAAACTTCACACTTAATGAATCTGAATTTTATTTGTACGCAATAATTGAACAGACGATTTAAGACTTAGGCAGAATATAGATACTAAAATATTAAGATAAATCCTAACTCATTTACACTCACTGTAATTATAGATTACTTCAGAAAAAAAACTGAAAATTTTTTGGATATAATTTTAAATTGAGACTTCTAAGTGAATGTTGAAAAAACGAATCAGTTTCCTTTAATATTCCTTTACTGAAATAGTCATCAGCGATCGAGCAATAAAGTAGCTGAACACGCGTAGTTCGACACATGGAACGAACTGGCTGCTTCAGATTTTTGTAGTTGTTTTAATACACGGATGCTCGCCAGGAGAAATTTCTCTACAAAGGCATTACTCTCCTTGAGAAGATAGTCCTAATACGCTTTGGCATAATCCAATAAATACAAATACAATTCTCAAATACTATTATATAGCTACCCCCTGACATGTCTGTTATAATGATTCAAATTATTAACCAATCAAATATCCAAAATTTTATCTGTAGTTTGCACATCAAAATGTTGATGACACTTTAAGAAGACGGATACAGTGAAAGAAAACAAAACTTAATTTCACTATGTAGAGACATTAGGCATTTTAAAAGCAGGAGAGATGAAAAATGAGCAACGCCTTCGCCGGAAATGGAGCCACGAACCTCTGGAAAACGCGCCCAGCGTGCAGACCACTACACTAGGAAAGCTTGCTAAGAAGGCGGGAGAAATACCTTATATCTAAAAGGCTATCATATAAACAAATGTGAAAGAAAATAATTTTACTGTATGATAATTAACTATACAGTTTCGATATTGGTAACCTCATGCAGTTACTTAGCTTCTTATTCTAATTTTACATAAAAAAACTTCAAATAAAACTCTGTAAAAGAGATTAATTAAAAGTTGGCCTTTAATGGTTAATTTAAGTTTTTGCTAACTGCTATATTTAGAATATAACTTTTCTATTCATTTTCAAGTTGTGAAGACTTCAGTTTCCATCCTGCCTTTTTTAGTAAAAGAGTATTTTTGAATCTTCAAGCAGTTAGTCATCTTCCTTTTTCTACATTTTTTAGGTTATTTATCATGAAAAGCAGCCAGTACAACTTTATAAAATAAATTAATTAAATAATGACATTTAATAGTCAAGTGCATGAATTAAAAATTCAGTTAACTGTTATTGCATTAATTTTCTACTCGTTACCAGGTTTTGAATGCTTACGTTTCCTTCTTGCGTTTCTGGTAAAAAACAGTTATTAATTAATCCAAAAATGCGAAATATATAGGATAAAATATTTCTTATTGCTTCCAGCTCGCGAATGTACATTTGCAAGTTTTAATGCACGAAAAACATATTCCTACGATATTATCCTCATGCGATGATTTGTAGGTGCTTTATTTTTGGATCACGATGTTTTTGACGACGACGTTTAAAACTGCGATGTTTTCGAACCGCTTTATTTTCGACGGTGATGTTTTATACCACTATGTTTTAGAATTGCGATGTTCTCTTTGTTTTCTTTTCTCCCGCGATATTTTGTACCCCGATGTTTTCGCCTTGCGTTGTTTTCTCCGTGACGAATTCGTCCGCGATGTTTTCGGCGAGCACCCTAGTTTTAGAGAAAACCTAAAGGAAGACAATTTTCGAAGCGAATTGGCAGAAAAGGTGCTATAAAAAGAGGCAGACAAAATGCTTTTTTTTCCCTTGGTTTCTGAGTTTCTCTCTGCTAGATGATCTACTATACCCCAGGCACATAAATTACATAATACTGATTATGAGTTCTATACCAGTTATATTTCATTTTTTCATATTTCTATTCATTTCTAATTTAGTATGCATAAATGCTTTTCTAAAAATAGAATCTATTAATCCGTTAACTTCTGTTTACTTCGACTAAGGCAGAGTTATGCTTTAACAGTCAAGCAGTATAATTAGTGTAAAATATTTTAGCCTGCTAAGTTCAAATAGATTTGTACGCGTTAGTAAGACTTAAGAATGCTGTTTAAAAGAGGAAACCCGTTTTTTCTCTAAATGCATCCAAAGATTTCCGTGTAAACATTAACGTCAACTTCAGATTCTCCCTAATGAATTTCAGATTACTAATTTTCAATAAAAGAAATAAAAAACTGTAAAGAAACAATTCATAAACTATGCTACATGATTTGTTCTTCTCAGCTACATGAAAGAAAGATAAAAAATAATAATTTGAACCTCCTGAGCTAATTAAAATATTATTAAATACTAGTATATCGTTAAACGATTACATTATATATCTCATTGAAATCTATTTTCCCAAATTTTACATTACATATCTAATCAATGTATGTTTAATACTTACTAAACGATTACTATCTTTACGTCATACATGTATTTGGAAAACTTGATATTAATAGATCTGATTCATAGAATTACAGATCAATAAAGACAGTCACAGAAAATTTTAAAATTATGAAATTTGAATTCGAAATTTTTGACAAAATATATGTCCAGTAAATGAATGAATAAGTTGAATAAACGAATAATCTTTATTCGATATGATAGCAGTTTTAGAGTGATTCTGTTAGTAGGTCCTGTAAATAAAACATAGTGAATAGTTTACAAATATATTATCAATTATAAAATTGACTAGACGTTTTGTTTTAAAACTGTGCTAAATATTTTCGTAGAAAAAAATGAAAGTAATGGACATACACGTTATATTTTTCAAGCAAGAAAAAAAATCATTAGGTGATACTTAATTAGCAAATCCGATGAACATATAAAATCGCATTTAAATATCAAATGCAAAACTTAAGTGACACAGGAATTGAGTTTTAAACGAGAAGAAATGATTTAAAACTACGTACTTGTGTGGTACCTTAGGGATTTTCATCAGTGTTACAAAGCAGAGACGGAGAAAGTGTTAAATCAGAATCGAAAGAGTCCAAGATAAGAGGCATGTCATCTAAAATAGACTGAAATTCTGACACATTTTTAGCATCTGTTGCCACTTCAGTTTCTTGACTCGAATCTACAGTCAGCGTTACAGATTCCGAAACTTCTCCGGTATCGGTGAGGGTATTCATAATTTCCTGAAATTCCGACAGATCGGCATCATCTTCGGGGTCGTTGATTCTTCCTTGGAGCTTTTCTAGTGGTTCTCCAAAGCCGTAAAGAGTTTTGGATCTCTTTTGCATTGCAAATACAACATCAGATGCATTTATTGTATTTCTTTTGCAATGATTTGCATACAGAATGGAATCATGAATTAGATTGCTCAAATAAATTTTTAAAATACTTCTTACCAGTTCATATATGCCTTCCGATATACGTTTTACGCCTCCTCTGCGAGCTAGTTTCCGAATTTCGCCTTTGCTGATTTTCTTAAGGGTATTAGCATATACTTTTCGACAGCCCTTTTTTTTATATCCAAATGAACGTTGACTGGAAGTCGAAGAGTCGGCAGTAGGAGGCATTATTCGTCTTTAACAGACGGCCAATGAAATTCATATTGATATAGTTTAATGGATAATAAGCATTATCTGGAGAAGGAAAAGACTTCCCTCCCCGCTCAAGAAAAACCTACCACCTGAAACGGAAGGGGGGTATTTTCAACGCACGTGCATTTGATAAAACGCTTTTAGCGTTCGGATCATGCCGCTGCCCTTTGCAATGGTCGCGCCCGGCTGAATAAACATTAATGATACCAGCATTTACAGGGAAAAAGGGAAAAGCAGTAGCGATTTTCTCTTCTTTTACAGGCTTGACGCAATGAGACTCATCTTCTCCCCAGTTTACTTGCTGATAAAAACTTTCAAAGGTTTATCTTTAAGTTAAGAGTTATCCATCATCTATATGTTTTGACACATTCGAAGTTAAACATTTTGTACTCACGTCAAAATTATAAGTGTAAATGTAAATTTTTTCCTGTAATATTTCAGGATTCAAACTACGCGAAAGAAGACATTTTATAAGCTTTTATTTAACTAATAATAGTACTTATAGTTATGATCAAAAGCTTCCATCGAGTTTTAAATTATTTCTTGATAAGCTGACAAGCTCAGTTTCGCATACACATTGTTTGTGGGTGGCACTACAAAGCAAATGAAGCGATGTATTCAAAACTCCAATTAAATGATTTAAAATTTAATGGTATATTCTTATTACCTGTCATCTTTTAATAATAATAATATTAAAAAAACAACAAAGCTTATAGATTTTTACCATCTACACCATTGGATAGAGTAGAAAAAAATCTTTTAAATCAAAATTATAATGCACTTCCTGATTTTTTGAAAGTCTCTCGATTTTTCCCGTCATTTGATGGAAATTATCTGAAAATTTCAAAGCTAAAAATGTATTTGCTCTTACCACTTTACATTTTTACAGATCAGATACAAAGCTAATTTTTTATCTCGTTTTTAAAACAAAAATGATAAAAAGATATTAACGGGAAACTGTTCTGAATTTTTTAAACACGTGTTGCAGATTTTAAACAGACTAGGAAATTGTGGTTTTTCATCCGTAACGTCTGAAGTTCTTACGTCGCATTTTTTATTTTCCGGTCTCTTCGTGTGGATTTTTCTAATGTTAATTGCATTTCCTTTCTTTCTTTATTTTTTTCGCTTTTTTATGAAGAAACTGAGTTTAAAAGTCTTCTTATAATAATAATTTAATAAGTATTTCTTTTTCCGACGTGTCTTTATATATTTTGTATATAGCATTCATTTCCTTTTTTTTTTAATCTCGAAATATGGAAACTTAACGACTGGTTAGCGTTTAAGATTATTTGCAGTACAATTTGGCTTGCCATTTTTTATTTTTAAATTTTCATAAGTTTATATACATTTTAATTACATAATACATTTAAGCATTTTATTTTAAAAGCTGTTTGTTTTATTTTGACACACAATATTCTTTTACGAGACATTAAATCCTAACATCAGAAAATGCGCCTGTTATAAAAAAAAAATTCAAAAATAATAAATCAAAATAGCCACTCTTTATTAAAACAAGAATGATAAAAAAAAAAAAAAGCCGCCCAGATGGTTTAGTAGTTAGGGCAGCTTATTGGGGTGCCGAAGGCCCAGGGTTCGAATCCAGAAGAGGACATGGATGCTTGTAAATGTATAGTGTCTTCGAAGCATGGGAGGACTCTAAATACAATCTCTTGAGAGGTTTGTGGTAAGGGAAAAGGGGTGCTAGTCTCTCGGACCTGCCCCCCGGGGTACTTTTGATCAAAAGGGGGGGGTCTTATTTGGGCGAAGTCGCACTGTCACCTTCATGGTGCTCAAGGCTCTTTTCAACTATAGTTGCAATCTTGCTCTCCTTGCCACGATGAACTTTGTGGGCTTGTTCTTGCGTTACTATCAAACAAGTGATATAAGTTACAAAACAACAACGCCACACGAAAAAAAAAAAAAAAATTAACATTAATTACTCGACTTTCTACTAGAAATTTTAAAAAGTAGCCAAGTTTTAATATGTTATTATTTAACTCTTTCACAGTGTTTATCATTATAGGTCAAAATACTGCCGCCGAATATTTAACTATCGCCTCCTGATGAAGCTGCTGAGCTCAAATTTTGTACGCCCATTCATTGTGGTTGAAAACACAATTGGTAAAGCGACTTTTAAAAATTTGATTGAGATGTTTTTAAATTTAATTTTGAAAAGATTTTTTGCATGTAGCATCGTTTAAAGAACTAACTAAATCTTTTAGAATTTTACTGTTTGTGCCATTCGATAGAGATGAAAAATCTTTCAGATGAAGTTTATATGAGAATTTTTGCGTAATATCTGATTTTTTGGCAAAAATGTGGATTTTTTCCATCTTTAATATAACAGAATTGTTGAAAGAGCAATTATTCATTCCTGAAAATGATTTTTTCGATTGAATAATTTGATTGATAAAGTGTCATTGAGATTAAAAACATGAAAGTTTTTTAAAAAACGCTGATAAAACTTTATTAGATAAATCTTTATTTAAACCTATCAGTTAAATAACCTAAAAAAGAAATAATTTATCACATAGAAGTTTACAGTTTACACACAACAGAAGTTTAAATAATTCTCTTTCAGCAGTGATCTACAATTTTACGTTCTTTATTTATTTATTACGTGCTCCGCCCTAGGCACTACACGGAAGGGGAGGGATGCCCCGTGGAGGTCTTTTTAAGGGAAACTGGCTCGTATCCACGTTACACATGGGGAAAACCACGAAAACGCCCATGCAGCCAGCCCGTTCGCCGAGACTCGAACCCCGGAACGAACTACCAGTGTTCAGCGGCTCGGCCGCTGGTGGGCACAATTTTACGTTCGACTTATAAAAGTATAAGCGTCTAAATAATGGGATCTTTTAATCGAATTGCATTGTCAAACGCTTTCATTATTTGTGTTATAAATTGTCTTTGAATTTCTTAAAGATAATTATTTATTATTTGGTTCGCATTAAAGTATATGATAAATTATATTACTCCCTTGAGTTGAATAATTATTTATGAGTTTTAAATAAAAACACTTATTTTATAATTTATTTTATTTTCTATTCTATACGAAATTAAAGGTTATTGCTTTTCCTATTCTTAATATAGTTTTTAATCCAAATTAAGTTAATTACATTAAAAGTAATAGTAAATTGGTTTAATTTTATTTGATTAACGATTAAAGTTAATAAAAATTAAAGTTCACTGCATTATTAACATTAAAATCGCATATTATTTTTTTCCACTTACAGAGGTTCTTTCACTCAAATATCAAATGATCTTTAGCTTTTTAGAGGCATGTTTTAAATCAAAAGTCATATTCACTCTGTGATTAAAGCTATCTTTGGTTTATTTTTTAAACTAGAGCACATTTTATTTTAATAATTAAATGTGTTAAATATTGATGTAGATTTCTGATTTTCCTGTAATTTTCTTTCAGTGAGAATTGAGGGAGGAGATATGTAAAATATTTATTATTTTTTGAAACTTGCAGAGGAAAATATAAGGTAAGGCTTCTTTTAATACTTACCCAAAAGCTTATTCTTATCTTTCTACTCATCTATACAGATCCTAAAGATTCTATTTGACAACTGTACACATCTCATATGCTATGCTTTCCCGCCTTTTTATTAGATTGCTTTACAGTTTATAAATGCATCTAACAACAATATTTTTAATTAAGTTTACAATTAAAGGTCATTATACACTACATTTAATAGCTACATTTCTTCATATTCAGGCACATTTAATAGATAAATAATTTAATTAATAAATTAATATTGACACATTTACTTAAAGGGAAGTATATGCTGCTTAAAAAGCTATGTGTAAGTAGTCGTATATGTATATTTGAACTTTTTCCTTTTCAGAGTGTGTAGATTTTTATTCGTTATATTTTCCCAGTAAAGTAATTTAAAATCATTTTAACATGCAACAGAATTCTTAAGCAAAAGTGTGTATAAACTGAATGTAAATTACTTTCATTGTTTTTAATACACGCAAAAAATTAAATTATGTTTCTGTTATGTATGTGTACAATAATTTCAACGTGCATAATTTTGCAAGTACACTAGACTTTAAGATACAAACTTGACAAAATCCAATTTAGCCAGCTCATGCAGCAGACAAAAATAGAATCCGTGAAAAACCATCCTATTTCCTCAGGTTTAGCCATTGGTCGTCTGGTCAGTCGGTAGTTAAAAATATTTCTATTGTTTAAATGAATTCCTTAAATAAAATATTAGATAAAAGTGCACTTTTTTGTGCTTCCGCTTGCTCATTAACATCAGAAGCAAAACACCTATAACTGAATATGACCAATTTTAAACAAATTTTCTTTATTGTTGGAATGAATTGACCGCTTAACTATTTTTATAAATTTCTTGTGGGTTGTATAGACCCTTAATATTTCCAATGATTAATCTTAAATAGTTACATAGTTATTTACAATGATTAATTTTAAATGTCTAAAGCTGGATATATGTGATATGTGATCTGGATCTGGAGATATGTGTAATAAAATTTAATGTATTCCTGAAAAATAAACAGTAATATAGGTTGCGCTAAATAATTACAATTTAAAGATACTGAAAGTTTTCGTGAAATTTCAAGTATTAATTGGGGAACTTTATTAGATTTTTATTTAATTAAGAGTAAAAAATGATATGCAATGATTTGCCTATTTCTCATGTATAGCACAAAAAGACTCAAGTTTACATTGAAACTTTCACAAATCTTTAATCGCTTTGTCTTAAGAAACTAACCACCTGAGGTTGAGGTGGTTCATTGCTAAAATATACTTAATTGATCTTTTTTAAATTCTTCACTTTGTGACATTTTGAAAAAGAAATTTGCTATGCTGTTAATATCCATCTCATCACTTAAAACTACTTTTATAAATGTTCTTCGCAGCAATCTTTCTTTTTCTTTTTCTCGGGAGTAGTATTAAAAATCTATCAATTTTATATCAAGTTTGCTCCTAACTGAACGATAAACTTTTCATTTCCGAAACGAAGGGGCACCATTTCCTCAGTTATGAATTGTCTACTAAAAGTTAATTTTATTCTGTATGTTAGAAAATGTGGTATTTTATACACAGGATTTAGTAAATATATTTCATCTTTCTTCATTGAAGCCCACCAGCGGCCGAGCGGTAAAGTCGCTGAACACTGGTAGTTCGGTCCGAGGTTCGAATCCCGCGAACGGGCTGGCTACATGGGCGTTTTCGTGGTTTTCCCCATGTGTAACGTGTATACAAGCCAGTTTCCCTTAGAAAGTCCTCCACGAAGGCATTCCTCGCCTTAGGCAGATAGTCCTCGAGGCTTTGCCATAATCATACACACACACACTTTCTTCATTGAAAATATAGAGGATTGGATTGGGCGTGGTGGACCAGTTCCTTGGCTCCCACGCTCACCGGATTTATCGAGCCTTCATTTCTTTTTGAGGAAAGCCATCAAAAGTGTCGTGTATCACGATCCTGTTATGTCTGAAATGGATCTCGTGGCCAGACTCGCTACAATCAAAGAAACTCCCGGTGTGTTTGAACATGTCCGGCAATAAATGGTCTGTCGGTGTCAGGCATGATTGCGTCTGATGGGGCAAACTTCAAGCATCTGTTGTAACATTCAAGCTGTCGTACACCATTAGTATTCATGTCCAATCACTGTTTCAAATTAATCACTCTTGTTTCTTTTCCCATCTTCTACCTCTGCTACCACTTACCCCTGACATTTCCGGGCATGGGTTCCTGTGCAATTCTTAATCCTTATGATGTGCCCTACCCCCTAGAAGTTTGTCGCAACATTTACGGTACGTCCTGTATATAAAGAAGACTGTCTGTGTCTTTGCTCGCGATACATTCAGTCACTACTATAGCTATCGGCATCAAACTTTTTACAATTCTTTTCTGGGTACTGGGAAAGATCGACGTCCACTTCTTCCCTTCCAAACAATTCAGTATACATCTATTTTACTCGAATTGAACGAACTTCTGATTAAAAACGCGATCTGACAGCTTTGAATTGCCACTCTGCTAAAGCGTAAGATATATACGAGTATATTTCAAATTTAATCAGAATACTCAGCGATATAACGAAACTGTGTTGCTACTCGCATTAAATATTTATAAAAGTTTTGAATTATACCGTGGCACCCAAAAGTGTTAGTATGCTTTAGTAATTTGCAGAAAAAACGTTGTAACTCGGAATTGAATTCGAATATACAAAGTGCGTCTAAAAAGGTCGGTGAATGGATGGATATCTCATAAACAACGCGAGTTTAAAAAAAAAAAAAAAAAAAAAATGCGTCCCTGCACATGCGCAGATACAGACCAATGGAGAGACGGCACGTAGCAAAAAGCGCAAGAAACCGAGGTAGAATAGTCTGGTATGGCTAATCAAACGGTTTATGTTTGAAAGCACGCTTCATATTTGAATGGAGCGATGGATAAACATCAAGTTTTGCTACAAATTTGAAAAACCGCCACAGAAACTCATGTAGTGTTGGTCCAGATGTACGGAAATAGATCTTATACAGCAATAAAATGTATGATACTACTAGTATTCAAAATAAAATTACGAAATGATAATAATGGGTTGAAGAAAAACAAAAGAAATTAATATAGTGGAATATAAATTGCATCACATAAAAGCATATAATTCGAAATGAAATATATATTCAATTAAAAATTAAATTATATAAACATTTTACGTATGCTGAGCCATAATCTCTACTTTCTTGCATTTAAAAATTCGCTACTCCATCAATTTCATATTAGGTTAAAAATGAATACCTCCTACTTTTGAGAGGGTGGACATACTGGTAAAACAGGCTGCATTTGGAGAAGGGCTCTTTGAAGAGAATATAATATATATATATATATATATATACACAGGGCTCTATAAAAACTAATATAAATCTGACGAAAAAAGAAACGCTTGTATGGAAGGATTGCTATTGTTCCTTCGGAAAATGCATTTAAATTAATGAGAAAAGAAAAATGTTTAGTAGTCAATCATAATTTAGACCCACCAGCGGTTGAGCCGCTGAACGCTGGTACTTCAGTCCAGGGTTCGAATCCTCGTGAACGGGCTGGTTGCATGGATGATTTTGTGTTTTTCCCAATGTGTATACTGAACTCGAGCCAGTTGTTTCTCTTAAAAAGACCTCCACGGAGCATCCCTCCTTTACGTGTAGTTCTTAAGGACGGAGCAGGTAATAAGGAAAAAGTAAAAAATCCTAACTAAACTGACCACGAGCAATCCCCAACTTTTTAAAAAAGATTTGCTCTCCAGGATAATGGACTTTGTGTGTGTGTGTGATTATGGCAAAGTCTCGAGGGCTATCTGCCTAAGGGGGGATGCCTTCGTGGAGAACTTTCTAGGGGAAACTAGCTCGTATATACGTTACACATGGGGGAAACCACGAAAACGCCCATGCAGCCAGCCCGTTCGCGGGATTCGAACCTCGGACCGAACTACCAGTGTTCAGCGACCGCTGGTGGGCCGATAATGGACTTTGTAAAAGCTGCAGTATAAAAGGTGAAAAACTGCGCAATATCGAGACTTGTTCGAAACCGGAGAACAAGGAACGGAAAGAGCTTTGATACGCACCGAAATTTTAAGAAATATACGAAACTCTGTAAATAATGTGAAGAAATTCCGAGTTTAAATTAATTCTGAGTTTTTTTTTTTTTTCTTTTTTTTCTGGTTAATAGAGAAAAAAATAAAATAAGGAATAGCGGTCAAAACTGTGTTTTCAGTTTCTTTATACGTTGTTTTGTTTTAAATTACAAAAATCAGTTTTACTTTTGTTTTGTAATTTGGTTTGGTGTAGATGTTAATGTCTACTGAGATAATTCTTACCAATCGTATATTTTAATTTATTATATTTCGTTGCATAAGCATTTAGTTTCTTGAAGCTCAGGCATGTGTGTTTCGGGGATTATGCCACTCAGAATGATTAAGTTTAAGTTATGCATTAGTTTTAAGTTTGGAAAATAGGCTGTGTCGCTGGAGGCTTGTTTGTTGTTGGAAGAGCGGGTTGTGAGCCGTATACATGTTTAGCTGGGAAAGCTGGAGGTTTCGTCCTATTATGTAACACTTTTTACAGATACACAACAGACACAGAGTTGAAACTTACTCTTAATAAAATTACTGATAACAGAACAGTAACGAGAAAAACATGCTAAATATATATATAAAAAAAAAAGATTATAAAAGAAAATAAAAACTAAAAAAATTAGTTAAATCTGACTTGCGCTATCTTGTAAACGCACTTACTTTGAACTTCAAATTATAATGTCAACGCTAGCATTAGTAAACAAGCTTTCTGTAATAAACAGATAATCAAGGCAGAAGACACATTTTTAGTTTTAGCTGTTGTATACATTTATTATACATTTATATCAATAATGTAAAAGAACAAGAAGAGGTTATTAAATAGAAAATTATGCATGTGATACGCTCATACAACTTTCAGACAGTGAAAAACTATTTTTTAACATTTCCTAAATTATGAGTTGCTATTTCAACATCAGCTTTACAATCCAGTTCAGTTCCAAAATTTTTTCTTCTTAAGAACGATTTTCGTAACAAATCAGAGAGACAAAATACCTGGCAAAACAAAATAACATCAAGTATTAATGTTCTTTTAAAACTTTTACAATATTACATGTTAAATAATGACATACGGAAATATTAAAAATATGTGTAAAAATTTTTCGTCATATAGTATGTAGTTCGATTAGCTTAGTGTAACTCAAAGCTTATGCTACTATCATTCTCTACATACTTTAAGTTACATTGTTCTCCTTAAAATCTTTACAAGCGAGCGTTAGAACCAATTAAGTCTTAGTTTCGAAATAAGGTAGTTAATAATTAATTAAAAAAAATTATAGATAAACAATGTGTACAACCAGCTATTCTGGAAATTCTCGCAATCTACTTAGAGAAGTATTTGTCGGACACTGAGAAGAATTAAACCTTGACCACTGCATAGAATGTGCAGTAAGTTGCATCAAATATCTTTTAATATGATAAATTACCTACTATGTAACAACTGATTTCAAGAAAAGAGTGCCAGCGTACTAAATTTACTATAAGTGAAATGGTTAACTCTTAAGTGAGTATTTTTTCTTCTTGTTTTAAGCTAGAAAAAATGCGTATATATAAAATTGAGGCTAAACTCTATAGTATATAAACATTTAGTATTATTTGCGATTGAAACGTTTCGAAAATGAATGTATAATCCAGTAATGTACGACGTTTTATATATGAATTCTGTTATTTGATTGAAAGCCTTCCACTTATGCTTTTTTTAAATCTCCCGTTCTACTAGCCTGATTGCCGAAATTCAAATTGCGTTTTTCATATCTCTAAAGCGCGACTTAGGATATATATCAGATTTATATATAGCTTTGTTCTAACATATTATTATAAGAAAGGTTGTAAGAACAAAACTAAAAAGACCAATTTAGGTCAAAATTTTGTGCATTGTGCTGCAAAATTAAGGAAATTAGATGATAAATTTTAGGAAGCTCGCCAAAAAGTTACTAAGAGCTGTGGCTCCAAGAAAACTCCAACATAAGCATATTCAGTTGCCATGAAAAGTGTGAAAATGGAAAAATATTTGTATATTTACAAGTTAAATTAATAAAAAAGCTATATGCTAAACATTTTCGGAAATTTTAACACAGTAAAAAAACAAATCAATTGAATAAGGTAAAATAATAGGTTATATGCTAAATAAAAAGTAAATTAAAAAACACAGTAAAATACTAATCGATTGAACAAGGTAAAATGCAAAAAATATTAAAATTAAGAAACGGAAAAGGGTTAGATAGCCCAATTCGAAGTTCATTTTGGCTTTTCAAGGGAAATTTTTAAAAATGAATCTCGAACTAAGCTAATCCCATTACGCGTTCTCCGAAACAAACAATTGAAACTTTGCGCTACATTACATTTTTTACACCTTAATGTGTCAATATATGCGGACGCGTCGGGAAATTGGAACAGAGAATTGAGACTTAAGTTTTTTAGAGAGTTTATTTAATTCATTAAAATTTTGTAAAAAAGTCATCGTTCATGCTTTCAAATAATTTTTAAAAATGTGCATAAACCACATTTTCATTATTATCTTTTATAATAAATACACCAAATTTCAAAACGCACCAAAATGTAAATTCACGTATATCTTAGGAAATTTTGAATAAAAAACGCTAATTTCTTGCAGGTATGCTTAGAAATACATCTACTTTAAGATGAAAACTAATTTTTTATAGGTTATAATTCAAAGTTTTTTTTTCGAAAAATTTATAAAAATTATTTAAAAAATATAAATTTAAAAATAAATCATCATAAAAAATAGGAGAATTTTATTTTGAATGAACCTAAATTTCGAAATAGGAAAGGGAGAATCAATAAGTTTAATAAAAAAAAGAGATTAATAAAATATATATAAATTCAATTAAAAATTGAGGAGCTAAACATTTGTGAGCTAATTATTTAAAAACTACTCGTACAATATATGCAAAACTTGGCAAGTTGACATAATTTGAGTTGTAGAATCGAAATATGGAAAAAAATTGGAATGTCATTTCAGAAAAGTCCGATTTTGTTATATATAAATCTAATAGATATCCTAAGTCACGCTTTTGAGACATGAAAAACGCAATTTGAATTTCGTCAATATCGGCTCAGTAGAAAGGGAGATATAGAACTGTCCTCCGCCCCCCAAGTGTACATGTTTTAAGAAACAACGAAATGAATATCAACAGCTTGGGGGAAAATCAAGAACTTTTGCCCTGCCTTTCATAACTTACAGCTTAATTTTCGATTTTTGAATGAATAGCGTGTAGCACTATTTTCAATTAAATTGTTTAGGTATTCTTCTCAGAGTGGAGGCTGGGAGACAGCATTCGTTTAATTAATTAGTTAGCATAATTATGACAAAATTTTGAAGAAAGTTTAAGGTTTTTAATGATTATTACATTGTTTTCAGAACAATTAAAAATAAATATGAGTAAACGTCTCAGAAAATCTGCAAATGGAAGTCTTGTTACTTGGTAATGAAAGCGACATGTTAGCTCAAAACATTCTTGTAAACGTTCCATAAGAAACTCATGCAGAATAACTTAACTAATAAGTTAAGAGCTATAGGGATTACTTATGAATTTTAGGGCACACTGAAATATTTCCCATAAAATTCGGAAATGACTTTTACCTGTGGATTAGTTGAAAATCTTAACATAAGCCGAAGAATGTACTGTCAAACAACACCAGAAGAAAGAATCTGTCAAGCTCGTAATCTGATTGACTCACCATACTATTATGAATCATATGCTACTAGAAAGATAGCATTAATCAGAACTTTGTGTGTGTTTCATGAAAGGGAAAGCATTTAGAAGAGATTTTGCAGAATTCTCTCAAGTACTGAAATTATGGGAAGTTTGTATTTTGACGCATCGATTTTACTGAGAGTATGTGATAATTTAAGTTCATAAGAAATAATGCTTTCTGAGTTGAACAAAACAGAACTTTCAAAATTAAACTAAATTTAAATAAATGTTAGTTATCCTAACAAGAATTTAAACAATGCTATTTTTATATGTAATTCATTAAAACTGACTGTTTTACATAAACTAGCTCAAGTACCGTCATCTTACTTGACTATTTCCATAAAAAAGGCAGTCATCTTTTTTTTTTGAATAAATTAAGTATTTATTAAGTCATTGATTTTCTTACTCAAACCAGCTCAGGTACATCTTATCTCAGTTTTTTTTCTGAAAATTATATCAATTGTAATTATCCATTTTTGCAAAAACAATAATTTTATCTGAACTAATAACAACAGATTTGTTTAATATATTTCAAGCAGGGATTATTTTCCCAAACATGTCTCATGCACTATTTGAACTGAACAATAATTTTATTTGAACTCAAGCACTGTTTAAAGTTCAACTTGATAGCTTAATTATAAATTATTACAGTCCTCAAACATTTTGTTAGAAATATATGATGTTAAACCTACCGTCAAAAGGCAAATGAGAACTCCCAAAACAAAGCCAAATAGTACATCACTCCAGTGATGCTTATTATCGAGGATGCGAGAAAGTGAAGTTAACAAAGCAACTAACATCAGTATGTACTGAAGGGAAAACTTAAAAAGACTGCTGAATTTACATGCCATCCGTTTCTGTAGATAAATCTAGACGAAAAAAGAAGTTATAAATAATTAATTTTTTATCACCTGAATGGAGCGCTCAGTAGAATTAATTATTCTTTCTTTTTAAGTTAATTCATTATTAATTATTAATTAATTTAATAATTCATTATTAATTATTCTTTCTTTTTAATCACATTTGTTAATTCATTATTCTTTCTTTTAGATCACATTTGTTGCAATACAACTCGTAAAGATAGATAGTGTCTTTTCAGAAAAACAGCTTTTTCAGTATTTTAGTATGTTTTAATATTCATTAACTTAATCCTTTAGGTATGCAATTAACTGATCTGGTCACTTGCCCAAGGGTTTCAAAGGTGCACCTTTGCACTGGACAATGTATTTTAAAAGCCTTAAGTCATCTGCGACATTATTTCAGCATTTTAGGAATTACTTGGGGGAACAATTCCCATTCCGCTTATACCTTTTGAACACTGTTTCTTTATCAGCGCTCAGCACCTTATATCTTTTAATAGCATCTTATAACAATCACACCCTCATATATTGCATGTATTCAATATTCTTAGTTAACCACAGCCCAGAAAAATTTCGAAAATTAAAGATTGGATACGATTTATTACATAATAGCAAAGTATATTACGGCTATCTTCTTAACGAAACAAATGACTCCATTAAAGGTATTCCAAAAACAAAAACTGGTTCTTATTCATGCTACACATGAGAAAAACTACAGAAACACTCACGCAGACAGTTTGTCAAGTTAACTCCAATTGAATAAGCAGTGTTCAGGGATCTTTTGAAAACTATACAAGTAGACAGTTTAAAAATTAAAAATACCTATTGTACAACATAACTACCAGTAGGTGAAATATTGCAATCCAAATGCGTCCAGTCCTTCCTATGCATCCTAGACCACTAAGACAAATGCTTCATTCTTGATGAATTGGTTCTGGAAAAGCAATATTTTTATTGCTTTTTCATTCCTTGAAACAGCATGAACATACAACTACAATAATTTATAACTTGAGGATTAGCCTAAGAATCAGAATCTTCTACTTTTATATATATAACTGAGGGAAACTATTCCTCTATCGAAGTTTTGGTGCCAAATTATTACAAGCAAACTTTTGAGAGAACTATAAACTTTGAGAGAACTATAATCCTTTTTGAGAGAACTATAATCTTTTTCGAAAGAACTATAATCTTTTATTTAATGAATAATACATATGAAGTACAAATTCACCCTTAAAGTCACATACCCAAGGTTCGATTTAGAAAGTGATATTTACAGTTTTTTAAATGGATCTGCCGTGGACAAAAACATATTCCAAAATAACTCAAAATTTTAGTTACTAAATGATTAAATTTTTCTAAGCATCACAGTAACATATTAATATCAAAATAGACATACAAATGCAACTTATCCTCATCTCGGGAATAAATTTCCGAATAAATATTCATATTTAAATCCAGGATCCTAAATATCACATTAAATATTATGTTTACACACAAAATATCGCTTAGTTTTTCATAATCATTACTACACGCAAGGAGGGAGTGAAGAGTACTTATATAACTGTAAGTAGGAAAGTACCCAGGTTCGATCGTAATTTGAAATATTCAGTCTCTTAACTACACTGACAGTTGCATAAAACACAACCTAAGTAATAACATAGCCGTGCTATACAATTCTAAGGTTATATAAAGTACAATTTTTCAATCAAGTCTTATTTTCCACAGATAGCCGCCTGCAAAATAGCAATCTAAACTTGCAAAACATACACATCGCCGCTAAAAATGATATGCTGCCGAAATGGATATATAGAAATGCTGCTGTTTCTGCAGACTACTCAGTGACCAAGATCTCATTAGTAAAAGAGAAACAATTTCATTGTCACTAGAACACACACAGAAAGCGAAGTGGGTCCTATTCTTTACATCTTAACTCGTATTTAAGCCCCTATTTTTCCGACCAATTTCCTGTCAAGGAATTCATACTTAGGAAAAAAAAACAGTACTATATTTACTATATAATCGTATTTTGTAGTTGCGCATACGATTACATAGCACACTTTGTTGTAACGTTGTATGATTTTTTTGTAATGTTGATAATTTTTCCATACATACATAGTTGGCATAAATAACACCACCTACATGTAGCACTCGTCATTATCTACGCCTTTACGTATAAATGTTTGTTCACTTTGTTAGGTGCTTCAATACGTTATCTGCGAGTGCGGGGGCATTACTGTCATTCATTAGTTTAAAACTTTATTTATAGAGATAGTAGAGAGATATAGGGACATTCTGGATACATTACATAAGTGATAAATAAGAAAAATTGGCATTATCTCAGAGTTTTATTTCAATTATTATATAGAAGTATCAATATATGCAACATATAAAATATTATCTCAAAACCCTCGAAAGATGTAGTACAGTTGATATTTAATTCAATGCCTATTCAGTTTTTATGCTAATTTCATCAGAAGCTGGCTGCTGAGAAACCAATTTCCAATAAATAAGCTAAAACGCATATGCAGTTCTTTTACAAGTGTGCGTATTTCTTTGAGAATGAATGCCGCTTGATTTTGCAGCTGAAGATGGTGGTTCGGTAAAACCATCGAAACTAGTCCTGTGAAAATTTTGTAAATATAACGCTGATTTTTGTTGTTTGACTTCTGAATCAGTAGTTCTTTGTCTACTTTAGGCAGAAATGTATGCGCTCGGCGGCCTGTGTCTTCGTTGTCCCACGCAGCCTGCCAGAGTACTAGAGCTGTGGCGCGCAGATTCCGTTTTAAATGAGAAACCGGCCATGGGATTTGTACCGGGACTGCTTCGATGTTATGGGCTGCTTCTTTCGCAAGCCGATCTGCAGTCTCATTACCATGATTCCCGATATGGGCTTTCGTCCATTCTAGATTAATTTTTAATTCTTTATGAGCACGGAGGTATTCCTGAATAGCTGCTATTATTGGAGAACTGTGGGTGGGGTTAAGGATGTCGTATAACGTAGACAGGCTGTCTGTTATTATGTAACTATTGTATACCCTCTGCTGAATTATCGCTTGCAGTGCATAGCTTATAGCTGTGGCCTCGCTTTGGAAGACACTATTGTGCGCTTCCAAATGCTTCTTCCATTGGCTTACTATTCTACCCTCTTTAAGTGCTGCATATGCACAGCCCACACTGTCGTCTATTTTAGATCCATCCGTATAATAGGTAACATCTATGTTCGTGGATCTTGTGGTCTGCTTTAGGTTGACATTAACACCCCGTCCTTGCAAAGACGGGTGCCTTTCAAGGCTGATGACTGCTCTTTCGAGGTTATCTGCAGTAAACACCTCTTCCTCAAATTGCGTTGTTTGGCCGAGTTGCTTGACTATCTGGTACATAGCTTCCTTCTCGACACTTAATGGACAAGGGTAGTATGTCAGCCAGGACTGCCAGTGCATTGGTCGGGGAAGTTTTAAATGCTCTCGTGATATTTAATAAAAACGGCCTTTGGATGCTTTTCAAATGCTTTACTTTTCTGCCCTGCATCGGTAAGGCCCAGACAGCTGCTCCATATGTCACGACCTTCTCCGTGACGGTGTTATAGAGGATCTTGAGGATTTGGGGGTTGAGACCCCAGCGATATCCTTTCATCATCTTGAGCTGCTGAGCGATGCTTGCTGTGCGCTGTTTTAGGGAGAGCACATGCGCTATCCAATTCAGTTTGTCATCAAATATTATTCTCAAGTATTTGAGTTCTCGCTTGATTGCAAGTCGTTTCCCATTGAGCGTGATGCGTGGTTGTCGCGTTAGGGAGCCTCCCTTTTTTGGAATCAATAAAACTTGGGATTTTTCTTCGGCAATCTTCAACTTCAATCTTCAACATCGCTCCTGAAAGAGGTCGCAGGATTCTTGGCAATTTCTCTGCAATTGCTCTCTAGTGGGGCCTTGTACTATTAGTGCCGTGTCATCGGCATATGCAACTATTTTCGTGTCACTTGGCCACGACTGTGTAAGTATATTATTGTACGTTAAGTGCCATAGGAAGGGTCCCGCGCAGGAACCCTGCGGACATCCCCTTGTTTAATTATTTTGTAGTATGCCACTATTATGCTGCAGAATTAGTTTTCGTTTTGCGAGATAGTTCTCTAGTGTCCGATAGATATTCCGTGGACAGCGTGAGTTCCTTAGTGCCCGTAGGATTGCCGGCCACCACAACGTGTCTAAAGGCAGTTTTGAGATCGACTGAGATGAACGCGGTGTGATGACCGGACAATCTCTTTTGTAGGAGACATTCTTTAACCTTCATGAGAGCATGGACGGTGGATCTGCCTGTGCGGAACCCATATTGATCCTCGCTCAGGTAATTACTAGAATGCAAGTGATGTCGGAGCCTGTTCACTAGCAACTTTTCAAATGACTTACCAAGCGCTGATAGTAAGCATATTGGTCTGTAGGCATCCGCTCTTCTCGGATCCTTGTTCTTTTTAAGGAATAGAATTACTTGGCCGATCTTGAGGCACCTGGGGAACGTGCCGGTACTTAGTAGCTTGTTGAATAGCTGTCGAAATAGATTGATATTCGAACGCACAATGAGTTTAATTATACGATAGTCTACTCCGTCCGGCCCAGGTGCTTTCTTTTGCGGTAGGCACTTTAAGACGTGCAATATTTCTTGTTTTGTGAAACAAGCATCTTCTGCAGTATCAATATCCGAGGTATCATATCGGATTATTCTATGTGCTTGCGTGTCTTCGGAGGGGTCGTCTGTGGCGAAGACCGCCTTCCCGATTTCTGCAAGCATGGTCTATCAGTTTATTGGAGATCTTTGGGACAGGTAGCAGATGGAAGGAGGCGGGTTTGAAAAGCTTACACGTGGCAATCTTGTGGTGTGTGCCATATATTTCAGTATTTTCCGTGCAAAATTTTCTCCAGCTTTCCAGTTTGGCCTGTAGGATCATTTTCTTATATTTTGCTGTTTCCTGTTGAAAGGTGATGAGCGTGTCAGAAGAAATATTGTGACGCCGCTT